CAAAAAGGGAAAAGAAAAAAATGTGAGAGAATGAAAAGATGAAAATAAAGTGTTTGTAGATGGGGAGGGGAGGAGGGGGTGAAGGGAGGGCAGAGGTAAGGGGAAAAAAATGAGAATCAAGACTTGCCATGTAAAGGTACATGATCCCAACAATGAATGTAACTGTACTGTATCCCTAAATGTACCAATAAACTCAATAAAAAAAAAAAAAAAAAACACCATGGACGACACAGTAGTTGCCGGGTAGAAATTTGTCTGGTGAATGAAAACTAATTGTTCCAGACAATTTTCTCATTTCTTTTCTTAAAAACACTTGTGAAATTCTATGTCATCAAAGTTTATTTTTCCTTAAGAGTAAAAAAAAAAAAAAAAAAAAAAAAAACACCATGGACGACACAGTAGTTGCCGGGTAGAAATTTGTCTGGTGAATGAAAACTAATTGTTCCAGACAATTTTCTCATTTCTTTTCTTAAAAACACTTGTGAAATTCTATGTCATCAAAGTTTACATTTTTCCTTAAGAGGAAAGAGGCTGCCTGCCACCTCCTCTCTGTCAGTAGTTGTAGGAAGCTCCATATATCCTTTAGCTGGGATGAGAAATCTCAGACTGATTCCCTGAGCTCCTCTGAGAACAGTGGCTCCTCTCTTTTGGTAACCACTGGTTGGGTTTTCTTGCCATTTTCTACCTAATGTTTACCTTTTCCTTTGTTTTCTAGTAATCATGGTTCTTAATCATCTTCAGAAGATATATCTCTAGATTCCACATCTGTGTATTTTTTATGAGACAGAAGTACAATCTGTAGACCATTTATATATTTGTGTATGTTTAAACTTAAAGAATTTTTAGCACTTAAAAATGTATTTGGAATAATGCCTAACAGATTCATTTGGTATTAAGAAGCTTGATTTAGACCAGACCAGCTGTCCAGTAGTAAATTGTTGAGTAATTAAGCTCTGGGAGCTGGTTCTCAGACACGGATAGGGCCTGCTCTGGCCAAGAGAATCTGTCAGCGTGGCGGCAGAAGTACAGCCGGCAACTCCTGACCCCAACTGTTGAGTACTCTAACCACAGAGCATCAAGTTCCCCAAGTACTGGAGTTGTTGGGCTGCAGGCTGAACTGGCCTCAGATTTCCCCTTGTGGTAAAGTCTTTACTGTTCCCAGAACTCAAAACTAGCTTCCTTTCCCTCTTTCATTGAATAGTAATTCTGTATACTTTGGAGTTCTCTGTGGCTGACCTTATTTCACTAAAAATGTTTTTGAAAAATTCCACACACAGAAACCTGGAGAGCCAAGAAGTGGAGATGGAGGTGGGGTAAGGGTGAGGAGGAGATGTTGGAGCTTCCCAAATGGGACATCATGAGAAAAATCCCTGCAAGTTGATCTTTATAAATGACAATC